AAAAAAAAAAAAAAAAAAAAAAAAAAAAAAAAATTGGGATACAATCGTAACCTTTAATCAAAAGCTAAAATGAAAAAAAGTACTTTTTAACATCTATACATTTTTTTGAACTGAGAGAAAAGAAGGAAAAGTAAAAGCGATTAGGAATGGGTAGAAAATTGCTTATGACAATTTAATATGTCTAGCGATACACTAAGAGGTATTGAAAAGTAGAGCGAAATTATGTTCGTTTGCTCATTTACAGAGTAAAAACAAGTCAAGTGGCTTTTCCAGTCAACAGTCCAAAAAAATCTATTGCATACTGTTGGTGCTTGGTACTGTCAAGGTAACACCATATGCTGACGATTTCATTGTATCGTCGTTCCCAAAATCTTTTATGCTGTTTTCATAACGGCTTGAAATTGTCCTTATCGTATCCTCATTTTTCAGCCATGTATCGTCAGAATTCCGAGAAAGGTAGTATCCGCTAGATGTCAAACGACGATCAACCTTAGCAGGAACTGCTCCTCTCACGTAAATATTTGCTAATGCATCACGTAACTAAAATGTTATAGCAAAATAGATTCATTTTTTTAAGAAATAACGGTTGATAGATGAGATAATACTGTAGATCGCAAACCTCTTTAAGGGCTATTACACCGATTAGTCGGCCACAGTCCGTCACATAAGCGTGAGACAAACCGAGTAGAGAAAATAAGGAATGTACCTAAAAACTGTCGGGCATTTCAAATAATAAACAAAGTTGATCAGCTTTGATACTTTTCTTCTTTTTTACACGACCTATTTAGATTGATTCAGAAATTAAGGAGGAAGAGTACAGGCGGTTACTTTGTACAAAGAGGATCCTAGAACCAGCTGAAATGGTGCTGCATCAATTGCAACTTCATCCAGGTCAATCACCCTGCTTAGTAATTCTTCTTTGTCCATTTTGTGGCCGTCCTCGTTCTTCAGCTCGGCTGCACTTGGTCTTGTGAACAAAGCAGCCAATGGCACTACTAAAAGATGGATAAAAAAGTTAGATGGTAAAAGTTTAAGCACTAAACTGTAGCAAGTAGTTCTTTAAGAAAACTGGCTGTTTTAAGTTGCAAAAAGTTGAATATTTACTTTGCTGATAAAATCTTTCTGAAGCGGTCTAAAAAAGTTAAAACTGGAACGAACAATTAAAAAATTACTGTTTGGAGCATGAAGAGGTGAAATTGCCAACAAAGTATTTCCGGTAATAGTGCCTCCAACTGAACGTTCGTCAACCGTCTCTTCCTTAATGACACTATGACGTGGGGTACCTTCAGTGACTGAACGACGTGATGACCGTCGAGATAGTCTCATAGACGATCTGAAGCTTAAAAATAATTCTTCTAGGTTTGGTAGAAGTTTACGTATATATATGTGCCACATCAGTTACTAATAAAAACATAAAAAGTTTTACAAATAATTTCACCTTTTGATTGAACTAAATAGATCAGTCGTTCGTTTCTTCGTTAATCTACCACCAAACTCTTCAGCGGCATAACGTTTTAACAAAACAATTAAATATTTTCTGGCTACAGAACCCAACAATATTTTATACTCTAAAAACAAAAAATTTAATATATGGCATTTCATGAAAAACAATGCTATCAAATCTTCGTGTAAACTACAGTAAAACAAGTTACTGTGATCTGTGACAACTGGAAAACTTTTCAGCCGTGGTGCTGATTGAAGAATTTCTCTCAGTTCCTTATAGGTAGTTGTTTTAGTGATATAAACAACATTTTTGACCATTATTTGTTCCACTTTTACAGTATGTACACTGAAAGAGGAGTATCATTTTAGAAAGGTTAGGAAGAATAGTTGAGAAAAAGATACATAACTTTGGTAAGGGAACAATTTATCAATTTTCTCGACCTTTTGGCAACGTTTATTTTTTAATTTTAAAGTAGATTCCTAACATTTCAAATCTTGTAAACAAAAAAACCTGGAGTACTTGATTTATTAGAAAACATTTCATTGTACAAACGATAGTGAAATAGTATTTGTTAATTTTACTATCAGAAAAGGTAAAAAATTTACTTGTACAGCATTGAAGAGAACATTTACCTAATACGAGAAGGTGGAAGGTCGGTAAGATATGGATACTTCTTGATTCGAATGATACTTTCGTATATTGATGGTTGCAAAAACTTACATATTGCATTACCCATCAGCATTGCAATCTAAAATTTGTTTTCTTATTACTGTTAAAATCTTTTAAACTTAAAACACCTCTTCTAAAAGTGATGCTTTGATAGGCATTTTTACAAGTTTTACTTCAGCTACAAACTGGAAAAGTAAAACATCAAACACAGTTAACAAACATTACCAAAACAGGAAGAATTGGAGCAAGTTGGCCTGTTAGTTCACATATAATGACTGCTACAGATAGTGTGTGTGTTACAGCACCGGTATACGCAGCAGCACCTAAGAAAAAGATCAGTTTTTATGGTGACTGGAAAACTTGGTGTATTCATAGAAATAAGCTGAACAAAGATAAAGTAACACCAACCAACAACAGCATATAAACCGGGATAAATCAGTGGACCGCCAACCCCGCGAAGTCCACTTGGGAAAACATATGCCATTGCTTCACCCATAAGTCGTCCACCACAAGCTCCAATAATAAATGAAGGTACAAATACACCGGCTGGTACACTGATTGAGATGCATATTGCAACCAAAAAGAACTAAAATTGATTTCCTGAATGAATTAAAGTTAAATAGAACAACTAAATAGAACGAAAAGAAACAACAGCGTTATATAACTGAACAGTGTTTTTTAAAAAGTAGCAGTTTTACCAACTTTTACATTAACCAACTTTTTGATATGAAATTTAAACTAACTAATATCGTGTCCTAAAAACTTTTCATTTTTGAATAGAACAAAAAAAAAATTAAATTTTAAGTCTCGATTTACCCGGCAGTTAGTGCAGGCAGGTGTCATTTAAAGTAATTTTGACGACTTTACAAAAAATATCAGCTCAAATAAAAATGAAATGCTTAATAAACTTTTTTTTATTAAAAATTTTGCTCAACAACACCTACATAAGTGATAAGGTAACAGGTAAGTGAAAGGAATATGCTAAGTCCACCAGATTCACCATTCGTCCAATGTGCTAATAGACTTTCTGGACATGAATGTACACTGGTTATATTGTGGGTAAATAATGTACAGTTATTGAAAAAATCTGCCATAGTTTCACGAAATGTTAACTGAAAGTACAGGTTTCGTTTCAATTACTTGTCATACAGTCAAATATGACTAATTAACAGCTAAAAACTTATTTATTACAAGTAAATTGCTGAAGAAATTATCAGTAATAGAAAATCGTATAATTACCTTTCCAGCAATATATAATCCAAAACCTTTTGGATACGTTAGAATGGCAACTACAGCAGCCATAAAAATCGTAAATGTAAAAAAGCTGAAAAATAAACTTTAAGGTCAAAAAATGCATTGATTAAACTGGTAAAATTGTTGTATTTTTCTAGAGAAACATTTATAAGTTACAGAGCTATTTTTATGCTAATTTTATTACCTAAGTTTCTAATAAAGTAAGAAAATTTTTTATAGCAATCTTCATATCAAATTTTCTTCTTTTTCTCTTGTCGTCCTTTTCTGTTTTGTTCTTCCCTGTAACTAGTGCAAAAAAAAAAGCAAAAAAAGAAATGATCATTTGAATAGGTAAATCTGGTGGATAACCAGTTTGTTATTGAATTATCTTCAAATGAACAAGGCTGATGCTGTGACCTTGAATTCAATTTTTTCCATTGTTTATTCAGAGATGATGACTTTCCAGTTATGTATCAGTTTTTATTGACAAATTAGAAAGCTTGAAAAAAAAGACGAAGATGAAAAATAAACCACTGTTAAATAAGTCTTTCCATTTCTCAACTTACAAAAAAACTCTAATATCTGTTTTATAAAGAAAGCTTAAGTGATTTGTTAAGTCGTTATTTTACTCAAATCACAGTTTATTTTGGGGGCTGGAGAAGATGACTTAAGAAAAAATAAAACTATCTAACAATTTTTAAGAAAATTTTTCTCATACTGCTCAAAATATTGACAATTTGAAAAGAGAAAAAAAAGGAAAGTGTGATAAAGGTGAAACTGACAATTAGTGAGGAAAAGAAAACTTACTTTTTTCGGAAAATCATTTTAAAAATTTTATTCTTTTGTCGAAATAGCGAAATTCGACGATGCGTAAAGATAAAAAGCGCTGCAGCTAATCCACTGATTAAGCTAAAATACAATTAATTAACTCATTTTAACAGTTAACTGAAAAACTAAGTTTATTTTTGATGTTTAAAATAAT